TCCCATCCGGAATCTCCACTATAGAACTTTTTTATTTTCTTTTTCTTTGGACCCCCAATCCAAATAATTTTTCTATTATTAATTTTTTCTAAGTTGATTTAACAGATTTTAGTTTTATTGTTAAGTTGAGTAGCTAATTTCAATTTTATTAATGAGGTTAAATAAGAGGATTGCTATACTAACTATTATTTATTTACTTATAAAACGTAAACAGGAGTTTATCTGTAAGAATTGTGATAATTAAGAAATTACTAATCATCATATTAATCAAAAGTTAAGAATAATTCTTTTAAGAGTTGTTTAAGATTTATAGAGAAATTATGAGTTGCATATTTGAATGAGATAAGGAACGTATCTTTTAATATCTATTTGGAATTTATCTCTTTTTTAAATGAAGGTGGAGCCAATTTAATTTACAAAATTATTTGTTTTTGTCTTCGTTAACTTTTTAATTGCATAAGGCATAACTGTCTTCTAGTTTATCTATAAATGTTCATTTAAGATTAAACTGTTAGGACTAGCACAAAGATTATTCATAATTTTGTTAATATTAGAAAAGTTTGCTTTAATTTAATACTTATACTTTGTGGCGAAAGAACTGTTCATTTTCTTTTATCACCTTATTCTATTTATTTAACATTAATTTTTTAATCTTATGGATATATTCCTATATAAATTTAAACTCACCTTACTCAATTCTTTAGATCAAGAGTCATTTCCTGTTTAACTTAAAGACTATGAATTAATATTACTTTCTGCATTAGTTATAAATCTTATGTAGAAAAATACTTTAGTAAAAATAAATAAATTAAATTATGAATGATAAAAATATGACAAAGTTCAATTTCTTTTTTAATCATTATTTTACTTAGAAATTTCATCATTTAAGTATCTAAATATTACAAAATCAATTATTTTTCAGATTATATTAGTTTTTTTTTAAATTCTTGTTTTTTAAAAGAAATTAAATCTTGATTAATTTAATCAATAGTAAATTAGTATTGCCTAATAATTAATAAATAAATTTTATTATTGAGGGAAATCTTTATAATTTTATTTTTAATAGGTAAATTTTTGATTTTCTCTTAAATTAGTACTGAATGATTATCTCCAACATTTTGGTTGATTCTCTAAACTTTGGATTACAGAAATGATCTGATTAGAGCTCAGAAAATAACCAAAAAGATATTTATAAAACTCCATTCAAAGCTTTAAATTATATAAAAGAAATAAATATATTAAATTAGCAAATGCTCGCTCTTGAAAAACACTTTATTACCTATTAATTTGCACTAGGTTTATCTTTATCATTCTATTAAAGTTCAAATATGATTGAGTTTGATAAATTATTAGTATTAATGTATTGTAAAATCATTCAATTTAACCCGCAAACCATGCTTTAAAATATTTTTGTAATTGAAATTCAATAATATTTTTATCAAATGGATATTTAGACTGAAAACCTTCAGATTGATTTACAATAAACTTATTTCAAACAATTTATTTAAAAGGATAAAATTGAGAAGAGATTATTGATTTTGTTAGATCTCAAAAGAAATTAATTCACTAATGCTCAAGTTTTTGAATTGGAGAATGCTATTATCATTTGAGAGAAGAGTAAAATGGAATTTCTTTTACTATAATTAAGAATTGTAATATCGATTATAGACGTAATGGATATTGATTTTTTTTCTATTGTCAATATTTAAATTAAATTTATACTTATTGTTTATTTTTATCTAGAATTATCTAAGCTAGACTTTCCAAATCAAAAATAATTAAATTATCTAAAATATGGAAAATCAATCAATTTAAAATACAAAAAATAATTTAGAAAAATGTTAAAAGAGTATTTAGAAATGCTAGCATTGTTAATTCTGAAAAATAAATCTAAATATTTTTAATAAAATAATACAAATATAGGGTTATCAATGTAAAATCAAAATTATTTTAAAAAAGTAAGCAAGCCAAAAAAAAACAAAGTAGAAAATGCATTAATTAGTTATGAAGAGCAGCCTTCAATAAATAAAACGAGAAGTTTGTCTGTGTAAAATTTTATTTCATTAATAGCAATTCAAGATCTAACTATTTTTAAAATGAAGTAGAAAGCAAAACTATTTAAATAATAAATGAGATTTCCATTATTAAACAACAAACAAACAAACAAAATAATTATATTTTCCAAAATTTGCAATAAAAATAAAATATTTTATTAAATCAAGAGTCATAAAGTATTATTATGTAATAATCATAAGTAATAAAATCAAATTTAATGGAATTCTAAGAAGTTTGTAAATCAAAAGAGATGCAGACTATCCTTTTTTAGGGTAATAAATTGTATAATCATCTATTATTATTTAATCATTCATAATTCTATTATAACTCAGAGAGTTTGAAATATGAAAAATTAGATAAAGCTTCATCAAATAAATTTCAACTAACTGGCAAGCTTTACGATGTAAAATTTGATCAAAATAAAAATCCAAAATATCTAATCTAGGAAGGCACATTTGAAATCTTTTTGGATAAGAATTTATTTATTTTAAATGGTTAAGGTGTCGAATATTGTGGAAAATCAAATAATGAAAAATATAGAGGTGAATTTGTAAATGGAAAATATAAATAAAATTAAGAAAATAAAACAAATTTTATAAGATCATAAAGTGCTCCTATTAAAAAAATTTTGATATATGATTTTTAAACTGGCACTTTGCTGAATAAAGATTAAGAAAATAAACAATAAAATTATGATCAAAAATATATTAGAATTTGGTGTAAATATAATGAATAGATTTCAATGTAAGATATTATAATCTTATAACAGAATGGAAGATTAACAAGTAGCATTATAGATTGTTATGTTTATCATTTAAATTTATTAAGTGAAGAGAAGTATTTTAAAAAAGATAGGAATAAACAAAAAACAATAGATAAAATTTTATTTTTGACGTCTGCATTTACAACAAATTTTGGAGATAATTACACATTCGAAAAAGCGAAGTAATTATTCGAAATAGAATTACTTTAATTTTAAGAAATGAATTTTGAATTAAAAAAAATTTATTCATGGGTAGGTTTTCCAATTAATAAGTGCAATTACCATTGGTATTTTGTTCTTTTTGATTTAAAGTCTGGTAAATGCTTGATATTTGACTCTCTTAAAAATTCAATAAGTAATATTAACAGAAATGAAAAACTGTTATCAACTCTATCATAATTACTATAGATCTAATTATTGTAAATTGAATTGAGTTAGTATTCGGGTTAATAAGTGGATAGCTATTCATGTGGATATCATATCTGTGAATTCATGAAATACAGACAAGAAATTTAATTTGAAGACAATAAGGAGTACTAGTATAATTAAAAACAAATTGCAAATATTTTAGAGCAAGTTATTACAAATAAAGAGCTCTGAAGCTAAGTATCAAACAAATTTAATGATTTTTGGATAAATAAATAGTAAATTTTTATGAATTTTAGAATATATTAGTAAATTAATGATTTTTGGTTAATTTTTGCTTTTTTTAACATTAAATTCAAGATTTTTAAATTACGACAAATAATTGTTGTAAATTTATTTGATTAAAAATTAATTATTTTAGAAAAAGTTAAGGGGTTGTTGTTTGATTGATTAAGAAAAATAATATATTAAGCAATAATTATTTTATTCAGAATATTATACTTAATTAAGTACGAGAAGCAAGAAAAACTAATATCAAATCAAGGAACAAAATTCTTGTATGAAAAATTACAAATCAGGTTTATCAAATATTAAGATAAGCTTGTTTTGTGTAATTTTACTTTTAAATGTTGTTAGAAAAAAATTTTAAGATGTATTGATATAGATTGATACAATTACTATTATATTCTGCTTTAACAAATTATTAACACTTAATTATTTTCTATTGTATTAAAGTATTCAGAGAAACTATTTATACAAGCATCTTCTTTCTTTGATTATTTCATCCTCTATCTGTCAAGAAATAATAATAGTACTCTTTCAATATCTATACTTTAGGCTATTTACTCAAATAAAATCTTAAAACTATCTTAAATTTTCTAAAGCTATTCTGAAATTTTAATTGTAAAAAATCATATAATTTTAATGTATTATTAATTAATGGGGTGAATAAATAGGAAAAGTTAGGAAATTTCTATTCGAAAAATGTA